TCTTCTTCCCAAGTTCAAGTAGTAAAACAGTAGTAGAGAAATATGAGCTCCTCTGCTTCAGCTCGCTTTCAAAATGAGCCCCAAAAGTGCCGTCTTTGTCGTCCGCCACCACGTCTCCATGGTGCTCGACACCGGCAGTCCTCTGGCCCCGCCGCCGCCGCCGCTCCACCGCGAGAGCGAGCACGTGATGTGTGTCCCAATTGCTTTATGGCTACATAGAAAAGTCGATCGGTCGTGTAGAAGATCGACGCTCGTCTTCTTCTTCCGCTGGCCTCCATGCCGTGAACTCTCCTTATCTATTTGCTTTGTATTCTTTGTTCCTCCTCCTCTATTTCTTCCCTCATAATGCATTTCGTATCCTTCTTCATCTCTGAGAGGCTTGTGGATGATCAGAGGGACAATGGTCTGGTTAACAGGTTCCTCTGTTCTGTTCTTTGCATGGGCATACTATACCTCTCTCTTCAATCTCAGCCACTGTGACTTCCAGCTTCAGTGAACCGAACAGGAAAAGGGAACCACTGCATGATCCGCATGGTTCAGCGTGGCCATTGCCCAAGCACAGATTTCGACATCCATTACAGAGCTCCAGAGTTGGATCTGGGATTGCAGAAGACCCCAAAAGCTGGACGAACTAAGAGATGAATCAGAAGAAACTGATGATACGCCGAGGAAGACGCAGGCTTGGAGGATTTGGATGGCATCGCACATTTAGATCCCGCCGTTGAAGACGACGCAGTAGTTCATTCCAACGGCGAGGCGTCGAAGGTGCTGCCATGTCTCACCCAAAGCTACGCGTTAGATAATGCTGTGAATACCGTCTTGCAGATGCTGGATTTGATGCGAGGAAGACGACCGTGGATCGAGAATTCGAGCAATACTTTTCCATGCCTCTGCTGCAGTAGATCATGAATTAAAAGAAAGAGATTCGAGAATACAGTACAAATCACAGAAGGAACTCCAAGAAGCCAATCAAATTCTGCGTAGAACACCGAGTAGTAGGAGTCAGCTGAAATATCGACTTTGACGGCCATCGCTGACAAAGCCTGATCTGAAAATACCCATATAAATTCGTATTAATATGACTGAAAAGTGAGAATGGTTTCTTCTTGCATTCTCGAGATCCAACAAATCCCAGCTCAAGTTATAACGATGGGTACGGAATCCTGGAAGGAATCATCTTCATTTATTTTGATGCAACAACCAAGAAAAAGGCTGCTACGATCAGAGAGAACAATCAGGCAGAGATCAAAAAGTACTCTTTTGCAGCATCTCAGGGCATCACCTGCTCGAGCTTTCAATCATGCCATCATCGACTGCTGTCTACATATATAAACTTCGACTGCTGATGAAGATTTCATGATCGTTTATTTTGAAGAATGAGAAGAAGAAGAAGAAGAGAAAAGTTACTTAGGTTTTTGTTTCCTTCGTTAAGGTTAAAGGTCTATAGCACGAATCATTGAAACTTCTTCTTCTTCTCCGGGAGAAAGAGTGAGTCTGAGTTAGGGTTTTACATGTACGTATATACCTGCACACATCATTGTTCTTCAGCTCCAGTCGGTGGCACATTCGTAGGTAGTCATTTATTGCCAATGCAGCATCATCAAGATTCTCAAATCTCAGTCAAAAACACCTCAGTGTGGTTCGAAGCTCTCATGGTACGAGCTTGTGAATCTTGATGATGCCACACCAGCAAACAATGACTGCAGCTTTTGCCTGAGGTAATAATAAAACCGAGCAGCCCCTACTCCTAAAGCCGGCTGTAACCCTAGCTAACATGAAAGAGGTGGAGAAGAAACTGCCGAGAGAAAGCTAAAGGGATCCCTACAAGAACCGAGCCCATGCATCTACAGCTAGAAGAGACGAGATAAAGTTGGGAATCTCCTCATCTCCTTTAAAATGTAGAAGAACTGAAGAAGAGAGAGGAACAGAAGAACAACTTACAACAGTGAGGATAAAAACTGTAGCTCACAGAAGGCTAAAAGTGGAAGCTTAATGAGCTAGAGAAGAAGAGGAACTTGAGAGAGAGGCTCTGAGGGTTGAGGGCATACATATAGGAGCAGGGCTAAGAGTGGCGTGAGGGTGTTGTGGATTACCCCGTTGGCCTTTGTGTGTTGTGATCCAAGACAGAGAGAGAGAGAGAGTGTGTCAGGGAAGTAAAGACTGGTACTCCAACAACAGCAACAGTTATCCATCGCAATCCGGGCGCCTCAAAAACACAAGTCTTTTACTCCCTCCTGACCTCGGCCACTTGCCACCAACAAAGGACCAGAGAAAGAGAGAGCGAGAGTGAGAGGTACGAGGGAACCTTCCCTGCAGGGAAACACCACAGCCCAAGGAGAGCATGGAAGAGGAAACCGGAAAGGACTCCTCGCTCCCTTCCCCCATCTCACCTCTCTTGTAATGGTGGCGTTTAGGTTCGGAGGATCTGTTGCGTTTCCTGCAAGCATTCTACGTCCATCCTCGGCTTCCTCTTCTCTCCTCTCCACAGCTCAACTCGGCACTCACACTTCCCATCCTCTGTCGTCCTCTTCTCTGACGGTTACTGGACCCATGCAATCACATAACCTGCGTGGCTTTACGTGGTTCTCTTTCCATCCCTGACCTGAGCAATCCACCCACTGTGTTGCTGAGTGCTTCCCGTAGCCTTTTTAGCAACTCACTGTGGGGTTTACCTACTGCTTGGTTGGTCGGTACTTCAAATCTCTGTGCCTCTTTGGATCTCAATGCAATTTGGCTCACGGGAATGTGGAGGCCCTACAGGATCAAACATACATTCCCTTCGTTTCCACACACTGTTCATGGTTATTTCATCGAACTGGACGCCATGAAGTGTTCGACCTTTACAGCTCAGAGTCTATACAGAGGAAGGTCGAAGAAAGCGCAGAAAAGAAGTGAGCAGTCTATGAACTAATCATACACACTATCTGTGTAGATTATAATATGTTACTACTTTTTATCTGAATTAAAAGAGATAATTTCATTCTTATTATTATCCTCAGGTATATTGATTCCAACAAATTGTTGTAATATCAGATTCAGAGCGCAAAGACGAGCTGAGCTCTCTGTCGGTATCTATCTATGTATCTGATCATCTGTCTACCTCGCCGTCAATCCATTAATTTGATCATGTCAGGTTGTCGAGGTCGGGACTTTTGCCATGACTGCAATGCAATGCAATGCTTTTAGGGCCACATCGTCGTCCCACCGGCCATCATCACCGAATGGTGTGCAGCATCTCCATCGGAGAGGAAAGGAGGAGATCCGGCCAGCCAGAGACCCATCGAAGCAAAAGAAAGCGAAGCCCGAGGACGATCGCCGCTGCCCTCAGCGCCCGTCATCCACTGCCTGCAGCGTCAAACCGGAGGACAAATCAGAGGCCTCTTTCTCTCTCTCTCTCTCTATCTATCTATCTATCTATCTATCTCTGTGAGTGTCGTATTCCTTTGTTTAACGTGTTAGCGAATCTTATGGTTTTTCATATTCGATATTATTTGAAATGTTGGTATTGTTTTCCATCTCATATATGTGTATAAATTTAATATTTAATATTCGTATTCGTTTTTAATATTTATATACTTTTCGAACATCTTTTTCATTCCCAACATTATATTCTATAAATATTATATATATATATATACTTCATTTTTCACACATTTATTTAATTATCGTTCCCAATATTAGTTTTCATCAAAACTCGTGCTCCTAAAAGGCCGAAAAGTAGCATTTGGGCTACCATTCTCAACGATCCGCTTAAAGCCCAAAATACAAAGCCCAAAGCCCAAATATTCGAACCCTCGATTGCAATTTAATTTGACGTCTTTATGATGCGTGCCGAAACCGATGAACAGCCGGATCTTACGTCAGAGGGAGAGAGGATCCGGATCCGATATCAAATAGAGAGGAAATAAAAGGAAAGCATAAATTTAACTACAAGTAATTGGGTGCCTTTAAAGTGATTAATCCGTATATGTTTAGTCCAATTTTGTTCTCACCTCACCTTTCCTATCCCAAAATAATAATAACAATAATAATACTTGGGATTATGTTCAAAATTCTTATTTTATTTCTAGATTTCTAGAGCCAAAGAAATCCTAATACGAGGAGAAGTAAGAAAACTTAAAAATTAAAATTTATTTATTTTTATAAATATCTAAAGTGTCACTTAAGTTTTGATCGGGATAGAGAAAGATACTAAGAATTCTTTGATTTCTCAACTCTCTAAAATTTATAGAGAAGACGAGAGAAAATATATAAATTCTTTGAAGTTTATGTAAAAAGATATATAAGAAAAATTCACGATCCCTTAATTGATTTCACATAATAAAAATTTAAAAATTTTAATGAATAAAAATAATAAAGAGATTATTTGGTGGATCGATCTTTTATACGTACGATTTTATTCTTTTAGAATATGTGAACTCTAAAAAATATTTTTTGAGGGTAAGAGAGATCCGAAGGACTTATGAGTCATTGGTTCCATTCTCCTTAACTAATATGAGACTAAATAACCTTAGTATAATCTTTGGTTATAAGGAGATTTCTTTCCATCCTCACAATCACAATCTGCATGTTATGTCTCCATTGCCAAATCCAATGTTTGCTTCATGAGCAGTTGAGTCGAGAAAGGTTCACGCAGCATCCACTCCTTTTGTCTTCCTTTATATACATGTTAAGGTTGCAGTGGGATGAGGATAGGATTCCTCTCTCGCTTGCAGTGAACCATCCACTGAGCTTCACCCGATCCCACTTGCTGTCCCACAGAGGAGAACTTTCTGCGATGTGTTGCTCTTTCTGACATGATGTGGCCCCTCTCTGCGATGCATGGATGGCGGAGAGGAGAAGACTGGTGCTCTCTCCGACCCTTTTCCCCGTCTGATGCTCTTTAGTCGTAGCATCGGGTGCTACTATTCTCATTGACCACAGCCGACAGATTTGTGGTGTAGAGAGAAGAAGGCATGAAGATGTGTCGCCGGCATACCGAAAATGGCCTATAAATAGGAGGCGTCTGCCTCAACCCACAGAACAAGCTCTCCCGACTTCAGTTCTCTTCTTCTTCCTCGTGCCACTGCTTCTCTGAGAAGATGTCTTCCTGCGGATGCGGATGCGGTTCCGGCTGCAGCTGCAGCTGCGGCGGTGCATGCGGAAGGTACGAGTCGCCACCCCTTCACTGACTTGTACCTAATCTTTCTTTCAGTGATGCATGTTGAGTGTGTGTGTGTGGTTGCGACATGGAAGTAGATTCAAGATTTCCCCTTGTTTGGTTCCGTTCTTGTTCTATAGGTGTTTACTTGCTCTTTCTCTGGTGCAGCTGCTGCAAGATGTTCCCTGACTTGGGTGGAGAGCGTGGCACCACCGCTGCGGGAATCATTGACCTCGGTGTTGCAACTCTGAAAGGGTCCTCCGTCATCTCACTCTTATAACTCCATTTTGCTTCACCTATAACATGGATTAGGGTTTTGATGGAAAAAGAGAAAAGGAACTCTCATAATTCCCTCGTAACTGCGGCAAGAAAAATTATCTCTACAGACCTAATATTAGTCACTCTCGTTAATCCATCATTACAACTCAAAGAGGATCAATGTACGTAATCTTATTTCGGACATAAAATAATAATCATGTCTGGATCAGAGAATATTATTATAAGAACTGAAATAGATGATTCGGATGATTCTAGGACATTGTTATACTTAATTCGTCTTCTTGAAAGAAATGAATCGGTGGTTGCAGGCATATTGAAGGTTTTGAGGTGGCAAATGGGTCTGAGGGAGGAGGCTGTGACTGCAGCAAGTGCAAGTGCGGAAGCAGCTGCAGCTGTGCTTGCTGCGGCTGTAACTGAGACATGTATTATTAGCATCAGAGAGAGCAGTATATGCAGACAGCTAAATAAGAGGAGTATGAGTAGAGCTGTAATGGCTTTTATCATGTAATATTGGTTCTGCTTTAAGTGGCATTTATAGTGTCATCATATTATGACCTATTATTACTATGAACTGATATGATTCTATTGTTGCTTTTGTCTTCCATCATGTTTAGTAATATAGATTCGAGGGACAAAGTTATCACTACTAGTGACTAAAAGAAAAAAAATAAAAGGGAAAGCTGTCCTATCTATCTTCACCAATCAATGTAATTTTTCAAGATCTTTGCTGTCCTATCTATCTATCTTCACCAATAAAAAAACAAATTTCATCCCACACAATCTTTGAAAAAGATCTCACAGATTTTGTGATTTTTCAAGAGAATCTTGAAATTATGTTAAGTTATCCAGGGAAGAGCATTTGGCAGAAAAAGATTCCCAAAGTATGCTTAAAAAGACTTGATTTTACAAGTAGAAATATAGTACTTTAAATTTTTTTCTGAAGATAAATCCATAAGAATCCAAACCAACTCAAGGTAAAAGAAACCAGTGAACAAAATCTCTGGCAAGTATAGTATGAATCTGCAAGCTATGACAGTATATTATTATCTTAATAATATAGGATATCTATACAAGAATCATGATCACTTTGATCACACAAAGGAACAACCTTACACCAAGCTAAGGACAAGAAAGGAGCTAAACAACACACAAAGATCAGATGAAAAGCACTTTGATTCACTACCGTAGATCGCAAAATTTATATAGTACAATGAATTCCACTCTATACAGATGTGAATGACATCGATCAGATTGAACTATATAGCTACAAAGATATATACAACATGCAACATAAACTAGGAAAATACAGAATAATAACCTGACATATCATCACAATCAAGAATTAATTCATCCAGCAAACCATCCAAAAGAAGGTCCTCTAACTCCACACCCAGACACACAGCATCCTGCTGCAGGTTCAACCATCCATCATTTTTTGCATAGTCTCGAGCCACAACATGTTCATGCATGTGACTAAGATGTGAGCTAATTTTTCGCCAAACCTGATCGAGGATATTACGTTCCGCAGGCAATGTTCTAGTGTCAGGGTCAAAGCGCGAGAACCATCTACCGGTAGAATATTTTTCTGACATTTCCAATAAGATCTCATCAATTAGATCAAAAAGGAGCTGGTGCTCAGGAGAGAGATCATCATAATCATATGATGCAACCTCATGTCCATCAGATAGTAAGGGGCCGACTAGTTGACTGGGGAAGTGTTGTGCACCAACAAACTCGAAACCATTGAATCCGGATTTTCTCAATACATCCCTAACATAGTTGAAATCAGCCTCATCCTTTTGATCCACTTGAATGTGGAACTTGCCAACATTTGCAAAAGCCTCCTCCTGCTTTTTACCAAAATTAGATTCCGCAGGATCCATCTCATCAGATACTTTAAAAACCGACAAATTATGTCTTTTGGCCAACAAATCGACTTCCTCAAAATGGAGGTTTCTTGGTTCAGTCTCTGAATCTGCAAAACCCAGGAAAAATAAAAGAAGTTGAAACCTATAATGAAGAGCTCCAATAAAGATTTTATAATAAGAGATGAGGCATGCTATGTTTCATGACTTCATTTATTCTCTTTTTTTTTTTTTCAGAATGGCTTTTCGCTTTTCTTTTGTGTGTGTGTGTGTGTGTTTGTCAATTGCATGTGTTTGGGCTGTTGTGTGCAAATGGAAACATGGTATCAGAAAAGATTAGTGGCATAAACTATGCTTAACCTTCTAGCAATCACTAGATGAACTTAATCAATTGAAGAGTAAATGGAAGACAATATAACAAAGAAAACTGAATCTGCCCCTCTCATAATCTAGGCGATCACAGACATCAGGACAAACCACATTTTGAGGACACACATTTAACTTTATGGCTTAAGGTATGTCTGTGGACTATTCCTTTCTATGATGACATTTCTTAATTAAAAGTTGTGGGTTAAATGAGATACTTTACCTTCTAAGTACTCATGTTTTGCAGGTTTCAAAAGATCATCTTCAGAATTTAGTTGAAAAACAGAGGTTGGCCTTGGTTTAGTTGACTCATCATTTGAATCTACTTCCAGCGCATGCTCATGCGCAACATGGCTATTGCCCGTCTGTGGTGAATCTGAAACTTCATGTACTTCTTCACTCTGGTGAAGCTCAATATGAGATTCTTGTTGGTCCACAGACAACTCATTAGGCAAAGGGATACAACCAATGTTCGACGTCCATGAAACCCTGCATGTCTCTGTCTCTGTAAGTTTGCTAACGATCAGTGGTAATTCTAGTCCTCCATAAATATTCCCACTAGCATGTACATCAAGAGTTTGTTCTAGAATGACACCAGGTTCAATGCTCTCCTTCACATTCACCAGTGAATCTCCTGACTCTGGCTCAGCAGGAGTATGGACGTCAATTGCCTCGTCTCCATTCAAAGGATTGCTAATTGCCGCTTCTGACAACAGAGCTCCATGTAATGGTTCATTTGGGACATCCTTACAGCGAAAGGAGTTGAATTCAGGATTAGAGTGAATTTGTTCAAAGACCTTTTGTGCCGTCTGATCCTGCAACTCAAAATCCACATCAGTCGAGGTCAAGTTTTCTTGCAGCCTTTTGGATTCACTGGTTAAAATGGACTCAAACACATGAGAATATTTGTATGACTCAGTAAGAGATCGAGATCTTCTAAAACTCTGATGTGGGTGTGCTTTCGGAGGAATACTAACATTGTCTTCTATGCTTTCTTTGAAATGTCTGGCTGAGGCAGATCGGAATAGCTTTTCTTTCATGACATTCCCAGATGCTGTGTGGCCATAAGGGATTTTATGCAGAAGCCCATCCATCGAAATATGAAGATGCTCCTTCCTGTTCTCATTGAATACATCCTTTAACTTTTTCTTAACAGTCCTAGAATGACTTAAAAGAGTTCCATGATCTCCTTGTTTTGTATGCTTAAGAAAAGATCTGGGTGAAAACTCTGAATTATAGTAAGCATTATACTTGTCAACAACTGCAGGTTCTGATTTCTGAACCAGGGACTTCACTTCTTGGTTAACAAGGTGATCGTTGGGTGATTTATTGTGCCTTTTAGCTGACAAGCCAACCATGGGGGATGAGCCAGACTTCATTAATGCTCTCTCAGAGCTACACCTATGAAGATTCTGTAAATAATTTTCCAACAAAATGTCTGGTTCTTCAACAATTCCCAGGAATGACTCACCCTGCCCATTAATAAACTCCTTTGTACTGATCAAATCATTAGACTGGAACACATCTCTTCCCAACTCCTCAAACGAGTCCATCTGTTTTGAAAAGGCATCCCAGTGATTTGCTTGCTTTTCAGTTGATTGAGTAAGGTCAGTGTGGCTAACATGATTAACATGTTTTATTGTTCCACATACTTGATGCTTTTTACTTGCAGGCAGAAGTTGATCATGTTCATGGCTTTCAGAAGAATCACTCTTTTGTGAACGGAAATCAACTTTCGGGGTAGCAGTGTCAGAAGCCATTTCCACTGGAAGAACATAATCACTGCATTCCAAGTGATGTATGGAAATGGTGCGCATCAGGCGTGGCTTCACAGGTAGCATCTTTTGCTTCTGATTATGCTTCCTAAACATTTTTTTGAAAATCAAAGCTCTAACAAGAGCCTTTCCTGAACTTTTTTTTGTTTGGCTGCCCTTGTTTACAATCTGATGCAGATGACAAGAAAGCAGCTATGGTTAATACGTAGGGTAGCTAGACCATGGCACCAATGTACAACACCTTATAAATTGTTAGATAGTTGGATAAAAATAAACAGACAAAAGTCACCAATGTACAACACCTTATAAATTGTTAGATAGTTGGATAAAAATAAACAGACAAAAGGAAACTAGAAGATAATATGCTAGACAGTTGACTGTTGGACACATCATTGTCTAGTAATATACCAAAAGCATCAGATCACAAGGCCACTTTTTTGATACACTGATAATTTACTAGCACTGAAAATGTACAAGTTTACATAATTCTTTGACATTCATAATTAAGAGCTGCTACACAAAACCACATCTCATTTGCTGGTAATACTCTTAGCAGTCCATAAGTTGGCATGTTTCATTGAATTGATTATGCCAATCTAACTGTTACCTCAAATGGGGAGTTAAGTATAAAATTTGTATTCTATGGCACAAAATCAGGCGGTAGAAACTATAAGCAAGCAACATCTGTTACACTTGCCACTCCTGTGAACAAGCAAATATTTGAATTATCTGGAACTCACATTATTAACACAGAATGTGCTTCTGGAAATGATTTCTTGAAAAGCTCTAGATGATAAAATATTTGTAAAAGTCCTCAGTCCATGTCATTAACAAGGTGATTAAAGGGTAACAATCAAGTAATATCAAATGGTCTGGAGGGTAGTCAACCACAGGGAAGTATGGGGCATAAAACAACACCAATGATAGACAAATGTTGCAGTCAGAACAAGAACAAGTCAGCTTAAATCATCAGATTGCATAAACAATAGACAGAGCTACTGAACACTGATAATCTCTGTCAATTGAGACCTAGAACTATATATAGCCTACTAGGTATCTTAGTCTTCTATAAAGTTCCTCATCGTTTCTCTTCCAGATCTGGAGGCACTCATATTCTTCTATGTTATCCTTTTTGTCATGTACATGATCCATGATATTAATAGCTAATAGCCTAATACTAGATGGGTCTCGCCTATTAGCCAGGATACTGCAGCTCCTTCACTGGCTATATCTATATCGTCAGAAGTAAGAAAGCCATTGCAATATGGAGCCATCACATGGAGCTATTCAAAAGATAGAACATAAGCAATTTTCTTGGGGAAATCCTCTGAGCTAATGGAAGAATCAAATTTGGTTTTATCATTAACAATTTTTCTCCTGCTTTTCTTCATAATTTACAGTGGATCTTCTTTGTTTGCTCAAAGGCTCAAAGCCAATTCCAAACTCAATAACTCTTTACAGAAATGAGTTCCTGTACTTGCTGAGGTCCAGGATGCTTCACCAGCTCGACCAGCTGATGTGCATTAAAATTGATGCCTCTAGATACTCCGAGTCAAGGTTGGACCAAAAAGAGAATCTAAATGTGGCTTGCCATAGATTAGGATGTATGATTATCAAAATAAATTCTAGCCATCAAAATATGAAGCATATGAAAAAAGTAAAGCAGTACAAGAAAGCCTATTAAACAGATGCAAATTATACAAGAAGCACATGACAAACTATAGCAACATATTGAGTCAAAAAATGATCCGAAACTTGCTTTATAAACATTTGAATCAAAACTCACCAGGAGCTTGGTTTCATCATCCAAGTTGTCATGTTCATCTACACTTACAGGAACATGCACTTCTGGGATTTTAACTCCTACAAGAAAATTAAGCGTCATCAGCAAACATAAGAATAAAAACATTCCTTCAATGATAATAAATGAGGAGACTAATATAAATTCCACAAAGTTAGAAAGTTAATGGTGCCAACAAATTTGGTGGTTTCAAAAGTCAAATCCCACTTGATTAGAAGAATATTGTGGTGGAAAATTTGCAAAATAAAGAAGAACCGATGCAAAAGTGAAAAGCCAAATTTAGATTCAGGTGTAGGTGATTCTCCTATGGGACAAGTGCTACCCTAAAACCCTAAAATAACAAAAACAATAACAACAACATTAATAAAAGATTTTATTGGATTAAAGCTTGTCTAATCTATTCAAGTATATGATTAGACTTGTGATCCGAGTGTTCATTTCAGAAGCATATGTTCCACACAAGACAACTGTGATTAATCATACGAAACCGGTAAGTTGTTCAAATTAAACGATGACGTTTGTGCCAAATTTGTCATGGCAAGAGCTCAACACCATAAAACAGGAAAGCAACAAAAACAAAGAAGCTACACAAGCTTAGATCAAGAAGAAAGTAAACACTCACTCCTGACGTGTCTGCGATTGCCATGACCGTCATCCTCAAGCAGCCTCCTCACACTGAGACGATGTTGTAAGTCAAAGATCCGAAGCCAGTCCCACATGCAGCTCTTGTAATTCTTCTGAAACGAGGCGGTGGAGTTCTGATGCTGCAATAGTCCCTCCATAAGACCAACACAACGTACCAAAACAGATGCCTGAGGACCGCAGCTTCAATCCTGGAATAGAAATAGATAAATAAGCATGCCTAAACCACAGAAAACAACGCAGAGAAACATCCAAACAAAGGAAAAAGAAAAAGCGCTGAACTTTGTGCACTTAAGTTGCAACAAACAATCAAAAACACCAACAAACAGAGTACCAGAGACAACTTCCGAACCATAACCGATTCTTATTTCTCGAATTCTCGGATAAAGAGCGAAAGAATAACACAAAGAGAAGGGCAACAGATATGTACAAACATGGAAGTGAAATATCCTCTTTACGAACATCTTCTTGCGATTCCATAACAACAATTCTAAAGCAATTGAACCAAGAAAACCAAAATACAACCATGTGAGGAGAAGGCGGCATTAACAACCTGCGGAGGAGGTGGGAGGTGGGAGGTTGGAGGGCGGCGGGAGATTAGGGATTGGAGGACTGGGGAGAAAGTGTAGAAAGATCGCCTCGCGACTTTGGCGGGCGCCGTTGAATCCTTCCACACTTCGTTGTGGAAGAAAAGGAAAGAAATAAAGAGAGGGGAAGAGGGATTCTATATAATATGTCGTTTTCTCTTTGCCCGTTAAATTGGACCCTTTCTTTTGCTTAAGATCTCACCACCGAATACAAGTCTTTTAACGTGGCGTGCCCGCAAATAAATAGATAATGGAATACTAATATTATAGATATAATAGATATTGCTCCAAAGATTAATATTATCGTTAACATCAATTCAGAAAATTCATAGTAAGCACTTGTAATATACTTAATATCAATTTTATTTGTGTTAAAAGCATATGAAAATACAGTTGTTTTAAAATGCCCTAATATTTTTAAGTGACATAGAACTTATAAAAGATAACTATATAAGTCAAAATATCAAATAGATTAATTTTCAATGGCTTATGGAAATTAACAACGACAGCATATAATATTTATACTAAAATTAAAATTATATATATACATTCTTTAATAAACACTTTAAGTTTCTTTAAAGGCTAATTAAAGATTATTCCTATAATTAATTATTTTTAATATTTAAATATTTTTATATTTAAAAAATATTATTATTTTTTATAAAAATAAAATATTTAATTATATTTCTTCTCAGACTATGTTGATGAAAATACTATAAGATTTACTATTAAGCAACTATGTTGATGAAAATACTATAAGATTTACTATTAAGCAAGTGTTTTGATTCTGTTCATTTTAATTTATTATTGAGCATATACGATATTTTTGTTAATAGAGTTGATAACGTAAGGAAAAACGAGATTAAATATTTCACTTTCATAAATATAATGATCTCAATATAATTTTTAAAAATATAGATCGATCAAAATAAGTTGATTATAAAAGATAATATATAATTAATTGTCACAGACGGATGAGCACGAAAGGTGGAACGGAAGACCGGGGAAGGTGGGGGTCCAGTTAGTGGGAGAACGGTAGGTGAAATTAAGTTGTTGGAATGGAACCTGCGACTTGTAATATGGAGTATGGACTCCCAAAATATCATCAATATGTTATGAATGTGTAACACTGATCCCCCTTTTCTTATGATTTGTTTATATGTCACATGAATACATACCATAGAAAGGATGTGATTTGGATGGAAAATGAAGATATGTTTTGAGCACTAAATTGGGAATTTTCAAAATAAACTCCATAGTGCCAAATCCAAAATGCTACTATCTCTCACAACTCAGAGTGCAAGAAAAACCAAATTATATAACTCTATGATTTATATGGACTTATTTTCTCCATCTTAGCATTTCTTAGTTTTGCAATTATTCAATAACCATTCTATCCATAAAAGATTAAAAACTCATGAATATTCCTATTCAGATTTGGTATCATTTCAATATAGTTATTATATGTGATAAATCATTGTTTCATGAAGGCTCCTCAAATATCCATACTATTTTGTTTCGACTAAATATTTTTCGTCAACACCCTAATCATTTGTCTACGAGATTACTTTCATTCTTATGATTTTAATTCTCCTACTTTACAACCGATACGAAACTAAATATATTTATCAGTACACAAGATTATTAATTTTCAAAACGAGTGAAATACCAGTAATTCTATTCCTAGTTATCTCCATATCTCATTAAAGTTCTAATTACATAAGAATGATATTTCTATTATTTATTATTATTTTATATAAATTTATAATCCATCCTAGTAAGATTAGGCACATTACCATACAAAAATGTAATGATGATCAAAATGAATCAAATTTTAAACAAATCAGAAACCCAACAATGAGATTCTCCTATAACTACACAATTAACGATATGATGATATCGTGTTCCTTCCGTTGAGTACGACGTAGGAGATTGGAGTTTGGAAGTCAACCACACATCAAGTAGGTGACCTTGACTTCCTTGTGGACCCGCTATATGTGGTCAACAGTCAACAATTTGGGGGCAGTACGTACTCTCGGTCAAAGATGTAACCCAGTCATCGTTGACACGATTCTGCCTATCCTAGTCTCCCAAGTGCGTGCGTGTGTCTCCTAAGTCTCCTCCGTGACTCGAACATCTTATTCTCAAGGAGGTTTCAGAACACACTGCTTGACTTAGAAAACCTTTATTCTAGAATGTGATTAGGTGGCTGCAGCTTATTTAGACCAAAAGAAAAGGAATCTTTAATCGATTTGACTTCCTAAAAAAATTAAAATGCATTATTTCGAGATAGTTTTAAGCCTTTTTATACAAATTATTTTTAAAAAATTATTAAACTGTATATTAAGTGAATTCTAAAAAAAACCCCTTTTCTTCCAAATACCCAAATATCCATCATCCTTAAGGCCTCAGCCCAACCCATTTCTAATATGGGCCAAATCGCTAATTAAGGCCCATCTTGTAGACTCGACTTCAGATCAATCCCTACGAACCAATCGACGAAACTGAAAGCAAGAATCCAAGCA